CTGAGGGCAGCAAGTGTGAAGGGTGGAGGGCTGAGGGCAGCAAGTGTGAAGGGTGGAGGGCTGAGGGCAGCAAGTGTGAAGGGTGGAGGGCTGAGGGCAGCAAGTGTGAAGGGTGGAGGGCTGAGGGCAGCAAGTGTGAAGGGTGGAGGGCTGAGGGCAGCAAGTGTGAAGGGTGGAGGGCTGAGGGCAGCAAGTGTGAAGGGTGGAGGGCTGAGGGCAGCAAGTGTGAAGGGTGGAGGGCTGAGGGCAGCAAGTGTGAAGGGTGGAGGGCTGAGGGCAGCAAGTGAAAATCTTCTGCTTGACTACTTTCTGCTCTGTTAAGCCAATTTATTCCACTAAAATTAAAGTCATCCTTGACACAAATCCTGTTTGACCAAGATGCTCTAGATTTTTCATCCCATAGATGCTTTGTTTCCATTCCAGCCTTATATAGGAGCCTTATATAGCCTTATATAGGCCAAGTTTGGTGGCCTATATATAACTCCTATATAAGATTTTTCGTTTAATTCTAGCCAAATAGTTTCCGTGCGAGGCTCAGTTTTGAATCCCTCTTTGAGACTATATTTCAAATTTTCCCTAACATACAAGGCTAATCTCCCTCCCTGTCTAATATATCTATCTGCGTGAAATAGTTTAAATCCGTTTATTTGATATTCAGCTAATAGTTCTCTGTTTACTATATTTATTCATGTTTCTGTAAGTGCAATAATATTTATTGCTTCCGTGCAGACAAGAGCATTTAAATGGTTTAATTTGTTTCTTAGACTCCTACTGTAATATACCCAAAGTGTATTGTTATTTTGAGGCCCTTTTTCTTCCTTATTCCTTTTACCATTTTTCCCCACCAAGACATATGCAGGCGACGAGTCACAATAACGTGGCAAAAGTAAGTTGACCAGACAACACACTAGAAGGTGAAGGGACGACGACGTTTCGGTCCGTCCTGGACCATTCTCAAGTCGACAATCGACTTGAGAATGGTCCAGGACGGACCGAAACATCGTCGTCCCTTCACCTTCTAGTGTGTGGTCTGGTCAACCAGACATACTTTTATCACCTCCTTCCTCAATATCAATTCCCATACCACTATCTACTAACAGTATAAACCCAAACAAATGCCTCCAACCACTGGTTCCAACGAGTTCGCAACAACAACATCCCCAGCCCTCGATAGATGCACCCCATCGTGAGCATACAGCCGGTGGCTGAGCGGACAGAACACTGGACGCGTGATCCTGTGGTCCCGGGTTCGATCCCGGGCGCCGGCGAGAAACAATGGCCAGAGTTTCTTTCATTCTAATGCCCTTGTTACCTAGCATTAAATAGGTAAACACTGTATAAACATCAGAGGTCCACGGTTGTTCAATGTCCTCCCAGCGAGCATCAGAAATATTGCCGGAACAACCGTGGACATCTTCAAGAGGAAACTAGATTGTTTCCTTCAAGGAGTGCCGGACCAACCGGGCTGTGGTGGGTATGTGGGCCTGCGGGCCGCTCCAAGCAACAGCCTGGTGGACCAAACTCTCACAAGTCAAGCCTGGCCTCGGGCCGGGCTTGGGGAGTAGAAGAACTCCCAGAACCCCATCAAGCAGGTATCAACTAGGTACTCAGGAGTTAGTCAGCTGTCACGAGCTGCTTTCTGGGGGTGGAGGCCTGGTCAAGGACCGGGCCGCGGGGACACTAAACCCCGAAATCATCTCAAGATACATGTCATTTCTTCCACAGATGTGTTCCCAGTTATCTATTAATGACATTGTATTTGATTTGCAATATTTGTCCAGTCGACAATTGACACCAAGTGCCCTCGACAACCATTAATTTACAACTGCCTTTCTTGGAAGAATGCCACATATGATCGGGGTTCCTCCTTTGCTCCTAACTAATTCTATAGCTGGCTTAAACCTCTGAATCTGTGCCTCACTCCTAAATCATGCAACATTATTCACCTGATACAAATAATGGGTTTGTTCCCATTTCCAGCCGTAATATCATTCATGTTGTTAACAATGTCACTATTCCCAGCTCCCAGATAGCAAACCCTTAACCTGTTCCCCCCCTTTATCTCTGGCGCAAAAAGTTCTGTCCAAATACCTCACCTGGGAATCACCCACAACTAAAATTCGCTTAGATACTTCTTTTACCTCGTGAGTAGCTTGTGGGACCCGCGCTTCCTTCGTGGCCTTGTCTCCCTACGGGACGTCGTCTTCCAGCACGGCGAAGGAGTTGGAGGTCTTTAGGACAGCTATAAGCGGCCTTGTCAGTGTCTTCTTAAGTCCGCTGTCCTTTGCGAAACTCCAAGACAAAGACTTCCTAATGCTGCTCTCCTCCTTTGTTTCCTCTTGAAGGTAGACAGGTTGTTTCATCTGACTTAGCTCCTCCCGCAGCGAGTAGATCTGTCCTCGGAGCTCTACAACATCACCACCAGTTCCCTCACTACTCCTTCCTTTACCACCAGTTCCCTCACTACTCCTTCCTTTATTAGTATCGAGACATAACCGGAGCTCCAGGCAACACACCCGCTCCCTCTGGCTGCCTGCGCCCAATCTTTGTACACAATACCGTGAACTTCTACCTTTCTACCAGTCTTTCATGCGGCACCATATGAAAAAATTGGCTAAAGCCAAAGTACACAACTTCACAACCTTTCCACTATCAACTGCCTCGAATATGCTGCAATAAAATGAAAGCAAAATTGACACACATTATCGGCCCGTAGTAAAACCGTGTTGTGAATAATTGATTAATCTACATTTATTAGGATGTAAACCAATGTATTATGTGGTTATTAATTAAAAAAAATCCACAACAGACGTTAAGCTAATTGACAAAAGTGATCTATCTCCCTTCATACGAATCTGTACCACACTGGCCACCCTCCACGACTCTTGCACTCTGCGCGACTGTAATGATTTATTAAAAATTCTCGCTAATAGCTCATGGTAAATAAAAGCTATAATAGCTTAAATCTCTTTTCCATTCTTTAAGCATCCTGCTAAGTGCTTCTTCTTACCTTCGGGATTAAATAAACAAATTTATTTATTTAACTTTCTCCCTATCCATAAGTAGCCAACCTGTCCTCTCCGACAGGTTGACCATAGAATTATTCACCTGTACGTGTAATGTTAATATTTTTATATTAATTTTTGAATATTTTAATTAATATTGATTACATCTACAATAATATTCACGAACAAGGGAGAATTAATTGGTTATTGACATATTTAACTTCGCCTCTAATAAATTGTTGATTTGTGGAACCAATTACCGTGTAACATAATATTAGTAGGATCCCTTGATCGTTTCAAGCGTAGGTTAGACATATATATGAATATGTGTTTATTTTCGTGATTTACACATATATATATATGAATGAGAGTGGGAGGATATAAATAAGAGCTGCCTCGTATGGGCCAATAGGTCTTCTGAAGTTACTTTCACTCTTATGTTCTTATATTCTTAAAAACAGAGGCAAAATACTTATTTAAGTAACTCCTCGACAGTTGCTGGACAAGGACAGTAGCAAACGTCTGGGGATCCCCTTCAGCCCGTACGGGGAGATCATGGACCAGCCCTTCTTCAAGTACATTGACTGGAACAAGATAGAGAGGAAGGAGGTGGAGACGCCCTATAAGCCCAGACTGGTGAGTTCAGCCCTTCAATCCCTTCATTCTTGCTGCTCTCAGCCCTCCACCCCTTCACACTGGCTGCCCTCAGCCCTCCACCCTTGACACTGGCTGCCCTCAGCCCTCCACCCTTCATTCTTGCTGCCCTCAGCCCTCCACCCCTTCACACTGGCTGCCCTCAGCCCTCCACCCTTCACACTGGCTGCCCTCAGCCCTCCACCCTTCATTCTTGCTGCCCTCAGCCCTCCACCCTTCACACTGGCTGCCCTCAGCCCTCCACCCTTCACACTTGCTGCCCTCAGCCCTCCACCCTTCACACTTGCTGCCCTCAGCCCTCCACCCTTCACACTTGCTGCCCTCAGCCCTCCACCCTTCACACTTGCTGCCCTCAGCCCTCCACCCTTCACACTTGCTGCCCTCAGCCCTCCACCCTTCACACTTGCTGCCCTCAGCCCTCCACCCTTCACACTTGCTGCCCTCAGCCCTCCACCCTTCACACTTGCTGCCCTCAGCCCTCCACCCTTCACACTTGCTGCCCTCAGCCCTCCACCCTTCACACTGGCTGCCCTCAGCCCTCCACCCTTCATTCTTGCTGCCCTCAGCCCTCCACCCTTCACACTGGCTGCCCTCAGCCCTCCACCCTTCACACTTGCTGCCCTCAGCCCTCCACCCTTCACACTTGCTGCCCTCAGCCCTCCACCCTTCACTCTTGCTGCCCTCAGCCCTCCACCCTTCACACTTGCTGCCCTCAGCCCTCCACCCTTCACACTTGCTGCCCACAAGTTCACTTCATAATATAACTTACTGTAAAATATTTTATACATATATATATATATATATATATATATATATATATATATATATATATATATATATATATATATATATATATATATATATATATATCCAGGAGCTTTAATAATAATAATAATAATAATTATAATTATTATTGATGTAATTAATATTTTTATTAATCAAGGTGAAGGAAAAACCCAAATTTATACCAAATTTTTATTAAATTATGAAATAAAATTTTCGGATGAAACTCACAGCCTTCATGAAGGCGATGTAAACAATGTTAAGACCATTGTTTACACCAGGGGGGGGGGGGCTTGGCAGCTGAGTGGATAGCGCTCGGGATTCGTAGTCCTGAGGTTCCGGGTTCGATCCCCGGTGGAGGCGGAAACAAATGAGCAGAGTTTCTGTGTCACCCTAATGTATCTGTTCACCTAGCAGTAAATAGGTACCTAGGAGTTAGACAGCTGCTACGGGTTGCTTCCTGGGGGATGTGTAACAAAAAGGAGGCCTGGTAGAGGACCGGGCCGCAGGGACGCTAAGCCCCAAATTCATCCCAAGATAACCTCAAGATAACTTCAAGATAACCATGATAAAAGGATGTAGGATTCATCCGATAAAATGAGATTAAAATTATACAATTACATATGTTTTGGGTCTTTTCTTCACCTTCATTCAAATACTAAGACATTGTAGCAAATTTCTAAATTATTATTGAGAAAATTAGAAGGAGCCATTAAGAGGATTCGAACCTGCACACAGGGTAGTACCAAGTACTTATATTTTTAGCTTCAAGACTTCTTGAAAATTCAGCTGAATCCCAAGTTAAATTGTTGTTAGCACGTCGTGGTACAGTGGTGTGAGGCGCGTGCTTGCGAGTACCTATTGTGCTGGTTCGAATCCTGTTGCTGGTTCAAGTGTTGTATTGCTGTTGTATCATTGTGATACAGTGTTGTATCGCTGTTGTATCACTGTGATACAGTGTTGTATCGCTGTTGCATCACTGTGATACAGTGTTGTATCGCTGTTGAATCATTGTGATACAGTGTTGCATCACTGTGATACAGTGCTGTATCGATGTTGTGTGTCCTGTTGGCCACAGCGCCACACCCACACTATACCGTTGTCCTCAGCGCCACACCCACACTATACCGTTGTCCTCAGCGCCACACCCTCACTATACCGTTGCCCCCAACGCCACACCCACACTATACCGTTGTCCTCAGCGCCACACACACACTATACCGTTGTCCTCAGCGCCACACCCACACTATACCGTTGCCCCCAACGCCACACCCACACTATACCGTTGCCCCCAACGCCACACCCTCACTATACCGTTGCCCCCAACGCCACACGCACACTATACCGTTGCCCCCAACGCCACACCCACACTATACCGTTGCCCCCAACGCCACACCCACACTATACTGTTGCCCCCAACGCCACACCCACACTATACCGTTGCCCCCAACGCCACACCCACACTATACCGTTGCCCCCAACGCCACACCCTCACTATACCGTTGCCCCCAACGCCACACCCTCACTATACCGTTGCCCCCAACGCCACACCCACACTATACCGTTGCCCCCAACGCCACACCCACACTATACCGTTGCCCCCAACGCCACACCCCTCACTATACCGTTGCCCCCAACGCCACACCCTCACTATACCGTTGCCCCCAACGCCACACCCACACTATACTGTTGCCCCCAACGCCACACCCACACTATACCGTTGCCCCCAACGCCACACCCTCACTATACCGTTGTCCTCAGCGCCACATCCTGGACGTGCAGTACTTCGACCCACTCTTCACCAAGCGGCAGGCAGCCATCACGCCCCTGGACGAGAGTATCCTGGCGACCATGGACCAGGCCGCCTTCAGAGACTTCTCCTACACCAACCCCAACATCACCGACTGATACCGCTCATCTCCGATGGTATCTCTCTCTCTCCTCAGCATCCTCAGGAGATGCTGCGTTCCCTGGCCACGGTGACTCCATTTGTATATATAAATATATATATTTATATTTTTTCTAGACACGTAGATAGAGGGAGTTTTTGATTCTCTCTCTCTTCTATTACTTCCAGATATTGAGTAATTTTATTGATATACTTGTATTGACTGAAATATATATATATATATATATATATATATATATATATATATATATATATATATATATATATATATATATATATATATATATTGAATTGTCAATTGAGCCACAACAATTGAGCATGCGAGTGGAGGGTTGATTTGTTTTCTAGTTAGCTCTTACGTTCGCTTCAAGAGACCTGTGCATCTGAGAGCACCTAGAGTGCTCAGTCAAGCCCCTACTGGCTGTTGACTGCCTGAGGCAACCTGAGCGAGGCCTGAGCATATGTCTCTCTCGTTCAACAAAAATAATTTAAATGCCACAAAATTGATCTAATTGTCGACATCTAACGACTGAACACACAAACAGGCACAGGACCTAATTCACATATTTACCGCAAATTGTAGCTATCGCTGCAAGTGAGTGCGCAATATCAAAATCCCATATCTTCTTTGGAAAGAAGGATTCACTATCGGATCCCATCCAGAAATCAACCCTCTCGGAGCCTGAGCAACGGGTAATACAGTTGACAAAAGCATCTTGACAAAATACAATTGACAAAAATTGACATACATCTACTTTAATGACCGAAGCTGTAGATCTCAGTGCCCCGTCTCGGACATAAGACCGACGATCACACTCCCTTATTTAGCCCCTTTCAGTCCCGAGAAATTGGGGGATTTAAGAATTCCGGGCGGGATTGTGAACTGACTCCGCAGGAAAGGTGCGAATCCGGGATTGGAAAGTTAGATGAAGTCTTTGGGTAAGTGGATGAGGGAGTCCACGAAGGCTCCACCTGCCTCTTTATTATGAGGAATGCTGCAAACTATCTTTCTTATCACCTCTTGTTTGTTGCAAGTCAATATTGATCTTAGTAGAGCGTTGTATTGATGTGAATAATGAGTAGTTTAAAAGGAAGTGAAACAGAAAGCAAATATTTTTTATATATATACTAATGCAGATTTTAGGTTTGACTTCAGAGAGAATATATATACACACGTTCAGGAAGATCTATACACGTTCTGGACAGGTCGTAACAAGTCCTGAACGAGTCTTCGACGATCAACACAGGGTCGTTTATATCTTTGGAGAGATCTTGCACCTTCAAGATGGCCCTTTCAGTGTTGTACAGTCTTGTAGACAAAATTTCAGTTGACTTTTCACTTACAAGTCACAAGTAGTTGGCTGAAAATTTCGGCCTCCGATTGAACTGGCATAAATCATACTCCAAGTATGATACTCTTGGATATCAGAGATTACCTTCCTGTATGATTCATGGTATTTAAACGGATGTAGTAGAGTTGCCTGTCCTCCTCCTCCTCCATAAGTCCTGGGGATATACAGCCTTCGGAGACGCTAAAGGGATCTCACAAGAAACAGATAAACGCCAGTGTTGAACCGATAAGGTTATCATAGATTACTTACAGGTGACAGGTAATCTCCAGACACACATCAAAATGTTCCGGGCGGGGACTCGCAAGGGAATGAATTAGATTCATTCTGGGGGGGCGCGCACCTCATTCTGGGGGGGCGCGCACCTCATGGGTATTCCTCACACCGGAAAACACTCATAGCTAGAGGAGACCGAATGTACATACACTTTGCCTCATAATCCGACGTCTGGGTGGCTGGCGGTCTGGTACACCTCAGTACACCCTCACACTCGCCCCCCTCCTCACAACCCGCACGGCTCCTCACCATCAATCAAAATAACAACAAATCAATGAGATATTTTAGTGTCCCCCCCCCCTCGTCGCCCATCTTGCTCCACCAGAACTGATAATATAGAAAACGATGAATCACAAAACTACATCTTTTCCCCCTTACAAGTTATGACTCAGATCTTAACTACGACAGGCCTATATATATTTTTGTCTTTAACCCGACCAAGACAGCAGCGGGCTGCCGTGATCACGAATTTGTCTTGGTTCTTGAGCCATACATATATATATTTTTTTCGTCCCAGAGTTTTTAGATTGTATGAAGACAATCTTTTTTTTGGGAGGTGATATTGTGCATTCTCCTTCTTCTTCTAGTGATTTGTGTGTCCTCGAGAGAGACCTGCTTGACTTCTGTGTCGTTAAGCGCTCGAGTGCCACTTGACTTCATCATGTATACATGTTGTTTATGTATTATACAATATAAATACATTTTCATGAAAATGTCTGTGTTTCACTCACTAACCTTAAACAGAAGGAACATTCCTGGTTATCTACCTCAAACAGAGGGAATATTCCTGGTTATCTACCTCAAACAGAGGGAATATTCCTGGTTATCTACCTCAAACAGAGGGAATATTCCTGGTTATCTACCTCAAACAGAGGGAATATTCCCAGATGTCTACCTCAGACAGAGGGAATATTCCTGGTTATCTACCTCAAACAGAGGGAACATTCCTGGTTATCTACCTCAGACGGAATATTCCTGGTTATCTACCTCAGAGGGAATATTCTTGGTTATCTACCTCAAACAGAGGGAATATTCCTAGATATCTACCTCAAATGGAAGAAATATTCCTGGTTATCTACCTCAGAGGGAATATTCCTGGTTATCTACCTCAGACAGAGGGAATATTCCTGGTTATCTACCTCAGACAGAGGGAATATTCCTGGTTATCTACCTCAAACAGAGGGAATATTCCTGGTTATCTACCTCAGAGGGAATATTCCTGGTTATCTACCTCAGAGGGAATATTCTTGGTTATCTACCTCAAACAGAGAGAATATTCCCGGATATTTTCCTCAAACAGAGGGAATATTCCTGGATATCTACCTCAAACAAAATTAATATCCCCCGTTATCTTCCACAAACGGAGGATATATTCCCGAATATCTACCTCAAACGGATGTTATATTCCTGGATATCTACCTCAGCGGGGAATATTCCCATATATCTACCTCACACGGAGGTGATATTTCCCGGATATCTACCTCAAATAATATCAGGTAAGGCGAAAGTGTTTGTAAACACAACAGGAATTGTAGAAGAGTTTTGTATTCTACTGTAAATAATACAGCATACAAGTGTATATAATACAGCATACAACAGTGTGAATAATATAGCCCATACAAGTGTGTATATTTCATCATATTCAGTAGATATAATACAGGGTATTCAGTGTATAGTACAGGGTATAATACAGTGAATAATACATGGTATAATACAGTGTATACAGTGTGTATAATACAGGGTATATAGTGCCACCTCTGTTGTTTGGCACCAGTGGCACCTCTGTTATGGCATCAGTGTCATCTCTGTTGTAGCACCTGTGCCACCTCTGTTGTAGCACCAGTGCCACCTCTGTTGTAGCACCAGTGCCACCTCTGTTGTAGCACCAGTGTCACCTCTGTTGTAGCACCAGTGTCACCTCTGTTGTAGCACCAGTGTCACCTCTGTTGTAGCACCAGTGTCACCTCTGTTGTAGCACCAGTGTCACCTCTGTTGTAGCACCAGTGTCACCTCTGTTGTAGCACCAGTGGCACCTCTGTTGTAGCACAAGTGTCACCTCTGTTGTAGCACCAGTGTCACCACTGTTGTAGCACCAGTGCCACCTCTGTTGTAGCACCAGTGTCACCTCTGTTGTAGCACCAGTGCCACCTCTGTTGTAGCACCAGTGCCACCTCTGTTGTAGCACCAGTGCCACCTCTGTTGTAGCACCAGTGCCACCTCTGTTGTAGCACCAGTGTCACCACTGTTGTAGCACCAGTGCCACCTCTGTTGTAGCACCAGTGTCACCACTGTTGTAGCACCAGTGTCACCACTGTTGTAGCACCAGTGTCACCACTGTTGTAGCACCAGTGCCACCTCTGTTGTAGCACCAGTGTCACCACTGTTGTAGCACCAGTGCCACCTCTGTTGTAGCACCAGTGTCACCTCTGTTGTAGCACCAGTGCCACCTCTGTTGTAGCACCAGTGCCACCTCTGTTGTAGCACCAGTGTCACCTCTGTTGTAGCACCAGTGCCACCTCTGTTGTAGCACCAGAGTCACCACTGTTGTAGCACCAGTGTCACCACTGTTGTAGCACCAGTGCCACCTCTGTTGTAGCACCAGTGTCACCACTGTTGTAGCACCAGTGTCACCACTGTTGTAGCACCAGTGCCACCTCTGTTGTAGCACCAGTGTCACCTCTGTTGTAGCACCAGTGCCACCTCTGTTGTTGCACCAGTGTCACCACTGTTGTAGCACCAGTGTCACCACTGTTGTGTTACCAGTGAGATTACAGATACTAATGTACAAGAATATAAATCTAATTCTGTTGACTGTAAACTCCGATACATAAGCTACATCAAACACATTACTATATCTATGTATGTATATGTATATGTATATGTATGTCTATGTATGTTAAACACATACACAGAGTTTATGTGTCTGACATGCCACTTGCAGAAGGAAGGAATACAGCACCATTCACAATACCATCCTGAATCATCGAGACCTCATAAAAATCATCCCAATCATCCCAATCATCAAGAGACTGAAAGAGGAGGTCCACACCTAAAGTCATCGAGTGTTGCTCTTAGATTAAAACTTGAGAACTTAACATTCAGCTATTTGATGGACCTCGTTTGACCCATCAATCACCTCCCAATGGTTTGGTTACGTGCAAAGATCATTAAATTATCATCAACACTTTAACGATGAGAGCTGGACTGAGAGCTCTACCTTGCTTATTTCCTTATTTCATAGCCTTATTTCCGATAGGCATCGTATTTTGAAAACTGCAGGGGGGGGGGGGATTTGGGTAAAATCTGACCAATATGTTTTCACTAATTTGCATATTTTCGGTATATTTTTGACTCTTGAAGAACGCAGAGTTATGATGGACTATACACACTATATTGTGTATATGTGACTATTGTATATATTGTATATATTGTGTATATGTGACTATACACACATATACACCCACACATACACCAAAACATACACCCATACAATAAGACACAAAATAAATACATCTGCGTATCCTTCTCGGAACAATAATTCAGGATAAGGATAGTGCCACTTCCTACCTCCAGCTGTAATTTAAACTTGCTAGAAGTGTTGGCATTTACGAGTCGAACTTTGCCAGCTGGAGATAGGGATAGAGACCATAAACTTGTCCTCACTGTGTTCAGGGTCCTTGTTCGAGGCATCGTTGCTATGTACAGTTCTCAGTTCTGCCGAATTTTGGCTCGAGTTGCTAAATTGCTCAGAATAACTTACACTTATCTTGAGGTTATCTTGAGATGATTTCGGGGCTTTAGTGTCCCCGCGGCCCGGTCCTCGACCAGGCCTCCACCCCCAGGAAGCAGCCCGTGACAGCTGACTAACTCCCAGGTACCTATTTACTGCTAGGTAACAGGGGCATTCAGGGTGAAAGAAACTTTGTTTCTGCCTCGTGCGGGAATCGAACCCGCGCCACAGAATTAAGAGTCCTGCGCGCTATCCACCAGGCTACGAGGCCCCGTACCAAGCATCTGGCTTCCAAACTTGACCACGTTAGAGCGACGGTCTCGCTTCATGCAGGTCGGTGTTCAATCCCCGATCGTCCATATGTTGGTTGGGCACCATTATTTTTCTCTCCGTTCTATCCCAAATCCTTATCTCTTCCAGATGTAATGGCTTGGCGCTTGCTCAAGATATTGTTTGCCTTCCATCCCAGGACAAGCACATAATATTTTACAGACTAGAAAGGGTATCCTGCAAGGCCTTGGAGAGACTGTCTCCTACCACGACCCCTATTCCTGACTCTCTTCTCTCTCCCCTCTCTCTCCCCTCTCTCTCCCAGTTCCCCGCATCGTTCCTCTCCCATCCCATTCTACCATCTCCCCCTTTCACCACTGTTTCTCTACCTCCCCCTCTCTTACCCCTACTCTCGCGCTTTCTCTCTCTATCTTTTCTGTCTGACTTTCTGCCTCGAATAGAAGATATTTCCAGTTAATACCAAAATAAATCAAGACTTTAACGTGAAAAACTCTAGGGTCTCGACCTGCCACGTTTCACTAATTTTTTGTGTAGGAATTTATTATTTTTTTTGAGATATATACAAGAGTTGTAACATTCTTGTACAGCCAGTAGTACGAGTAGCGTTTCGAACTAGATCCTTATTAATAGGATCGATCAATTGGATCGAACCCCCGAAAAGTTTTGGTCGATCCATTGTTTTGGATCGACCAAAACAATGTTTACAGCCGCTCTCACCTTAAGATTACCGTCTTTTTCTTGACAACATCACTGTTCTGCTCGAAACGTGTCTTTCAAGTGCTGCTCACGTGCGGTCACGTGATTGTACTTCACGTGACCCGAGTCCTTCGGCAGATAACGAATGGTAGTTTGGAAAACGTTGTTCTCAATTGAATTTTTTATTTTTTTTTAAGTTTTAAGTTTTGCCCCGAGGGGCGAGTTTATTGGGCAGTGTCATTCATCCTGTGAGTGGACACACCGCCATAGTGACAGTATTGGGCAGCGTCATTCATCCTGTGAGTGGACACACCGCCATAGTGACAGTATTGGGCAGCGCCACTCATCCTGTGAGTGGACACACCGCCATAGTGACAGTATTGGGCAGCGCCACTCATCCTGTGAGTGGACACACCGCCATAGTGACAGTATTGGGCAGCGTCACTCATCCTGTGAGTGGACACACCGCCATAGTGACAGTATTGGGCAGCGCCGCACATCCTGTGAGTGGACACACCGCCACAGTGACAGTATTGGGCAGTGTCCTTCATCCTGTGAGTGGACACACCGCCATAGTGACAGTATTGGGCAGCACCACTCATCCTGTGAGTGGACACACCGCCATAGTGACAGTATTGGGCAGCACCACTCATCCTGTGAGTGGACACACCGCCATAGTGAGAGTATTGGGCAGCACCACTCATCCTGTGAGTGGACACACCGCCATAGTGACAGTATTGGGCAGCACCACTCATCCTGTGAGTGGACACACCGCCATAGTGACAGTATTCGGCAGCGCCACTCATCCTGTGAGTGGACACACCGCCATAGTGACAGTATTGGGCAGCACCACTCATCCTGTGAGTGGACACACCGCCATAGTGACAGTATTGGGCAGCGCCACTCATCCTGTGAGTGGACACACCGCCATAGTGACAGTATTGGGCAGCACCACTCATCCTGTGAGTGGACACACCGCCATAGTGACAGTATTGGG